AGCAGCAGCAGCAGCAGCACCCGCAGCAGCAGCAGCAGCAGCAGCAGCAACAGTCACGGAAACCCTCGTGCTGCAGAGCCTCCGGTGTCTCTCTTCTCCTGCTGCAGTTTTGCCTTTTCTTGAATGTCCCCGGCTGCAGGCTTTTGTGGAGTGGCTGAAGGACGAGGAGACAGAAAGCGATTAAAACATTTTATTTGCTGCTGCTGCTGCTGCTGCTGCTGCTGCTGCTGCTGCGGGTGCAGCAGTGGCGGCAGGGCAGTGGGGTGGAGAGGAACGGCTGCAGCGGCAGCAGCGCAGCTGCTGCTGCAGCAGCAGCAGCAAAATCGAAGCAGCAGCAGCAGCAGCAGCGCACGCAGCAGGAACAGCAGTAGCAGCGGCAACAGCCGCAGCAATGATTGCTGCTACGGCGCCAGCAGCAACTGCAGCAGCAGCAGCAGCAGCAGCTGCTGCTGCTGCTGCTGTTGGCATGTACATTGGCAGACGCTGGACTCATTTGGGGCTGCATGCGATGGCGCAGCAGCTTCTAGTCATCCACGGCAATGAGGCCTTGCTGCAGCAGCTAGCTGCAGATAGCTGCTGCAGCTAGCTGCATACTAGCTGCTGCAGCAGCATGCAGCTAGCTGCAGCTAGCCTCTGTAGCTAACCATAGCTAGCTGCACAACTAGCTGTAGCTAGCTGCAGTTAGCTGTGGCTAGCTTTGGCTTGCTGCAGCTAGCTGTAGCTTGCTGCAGCTAGCTGTGGCTAGCTGTGGCTAGCTGTGGCTAGCTTTGGCTTGCTGCAGCTAGCTGTAGCTTGCTGCAGCTAGCTGTGGGCTGCTGTAGCTAGCTGGGATGTGCGGCCTGCAGCTAGCTGCAGGTAGCTGCTAGCTGCAGCTAGCTGCAATATAGCAGCAAGCCACAGCTAGCCACAGCTAGCTAGCTGCAGCTAGCTACACAGCTAGCCAGCAGAAGTCGGCTGCAGCTGCCAGCAGAAGTCGGCTGCAGCTAGCCAGAGGGTGTGTAGTTAGCTGCTAAGTCCTAGCTTGGTGTTTCGAAGCTAGCGGGCTACTTGGCTGGCTAGCCAGCTAGCTAGCTAGCCAGCTAGCTAGCTAGCCAGCTAGCTAGTAAGGCAGCTAGCTAGTTAGTAAGGCAGCTAGCTAGCGAGGCAGTTCGCTAGCAGCGAGCTAGCAGCTAGCTAGCAGCTAGCTAGCTGGCCAGCTAGCTAGCTAGCTAGCCATCACAAAGTAAATGTATAGACTTGGGTGTGAGCCTCATCTTCGCGAGGCTAGCTGCAGCAGCTAGCTTCAGGCAGCAGCAGCAGCAGCAGCAGCAGCAGCAGCTAGCTGCGGCAGCAACACATTTAGCTGCAGAGGACACCGCAGCAACAGCAGCAGGCTGCAGCGGCGACAGCAGCTAGCTCCAGATGCGGCAATAGCAGCGGCAGCAAACTGCAGCAGCAGCAGCAGCAGCAACAAGCTGCAGCAGCAACAGCAGCTAGCTGCAAATGCAACAGCAGTGGCAGCAGAAAGCTGCAACAGCACCAGCAGCTAGCTTCAGCAGCAGCAGCAGCTAGCTGCAGCAGCAGCAGCAGCAGCCTGCGTTAGCCCGGGTGTCACGTGTCTGTTCTGCAAGCATGCAGCAGCAGCAGCAGTTGCTGCTGCTGCTGCTGCTTGACTTGCTGCTGCTGCTGCTGCTGCTGCTGCTACCCGTAGTTAGCCAGAAAGCTGAGACTCTTCTAGCTAGCTGCTGCCTGCTGTGCGCCACCCCACAGCAGCTAAAGGTAAGATTAGGGTTTAGGGTTTAGGGTTTAGGGTTTAGGGTTTAGGCGTTTCAAGAGCCTAGTACTACCCTCTGCTTGTAAATTGCAGAGGCTCGGTGGTGAGGGTGTGGATTTTAGGGTTTAGGGTTCAGGGGTGAGGGTTTAGGGTTTAGGGTTTAAGGTTTAGGGTTTAGGGTTTAGGGTTTGGTGGCTGGCAGGGTGCCGAAATCCTGTGGTTTATCGTGACTGAGTTTCTAAACAGAAAACCCTAAACCCTTATTTAAAAATAAAACAAAACAAAATTAGAAGACACTTCAAACCCTAAACCCTAAACCCTAAACCCTAAACCCCAGCCACGAGCCACAGCGGCTTCTGCTACAGGGCCTGCGCCGCAGCGCAGGGCTTGCCCAAACCCTAAACCCTAAACCCTAAACCCTAATCCGGAAAACCCTGAATCTTAAACCCTAAACCCTAAACCCTAGCAGCTTCTAAGGAACTGAAAACCCTCAAAAGTTACTCTTCCCTTTTCCTGAACTCTTCAGCCCCCAGGGGCCCCAGGCAAGTCTAGCCCTAAACCCTAAACCCTAAACCCTAACTTCTAAACCCTAAACCCTAAACCCTAATTAAAACTAGAGCTTTACAATTTCAATGCTGGCATCCGCGGGGACACTTCGGAGCGCGGCCAAAACCCGTCTTGCTGCTCCTGCAGCAGCAGCTGCTGCTGCTGCAGCAGCAGCAGCAGCAGCCGCAGCAGCTGCTGCTGCAGCAGGAATGCCAGTGGCTGCAGCAGAGCAGCGGGAGAGGGAGGAGGAGCAGCAGCACAAGGAGCAGCAAAGCAGCAGCAGCAGCAGCAACAGCAGCAGTAGCCTCCTGCTGCTGCAGCGCAGCAGCAGAAGCAGCAGCAGCAGCAAAGACACAAAAACGGGCAGCAGAACTGCCTGCAGCAGCAGCTGCGCCCGCAGAGCAGCAGCAGCAAAATCCGAAATGTCACGCGAAGCAGCAGCAGCAGCAACAGCAGCAGCAACAGCAGCAGCAACAGCAGCAGTAACAGCAGCAGCAACTGCCGCTGCAGCAGCGGCATCACTGCAAATGACACAGCAGCAGCAACAGCAGCAACAGCAGGAGGAGCTGCTGCTGCTGCTGGTGGCCCTTTTTGTGTGCTGCTGCAGCAGCAGCAGCCCAGGCTACAGCGGCGCGACCCGGCTTGCTGCAGCAGCTGCTGCAGCTGCTGCCGCTTCTGCTGCTGCTGCTGCTGCTGCTGCTGCTGCAGCAGCTTAATTGCTGCAGCGCGAACTCGTGTGCTGTGTCTCTGGATGTGTCTCCTTTCAGTTTGCTGCCGATCTCTTTTTGCATTTTATTTTAATTTCTTTTTTAAATTAAATTAAATTAAATTAAATTAAATTAAATTAATTAAATAGAATTTCAACTTATTATCCGAAGCGTCTCCTTTTCCCTTCATCTGTCTCCTTTGCTGCTGCTGCTGCTGCTGCTGCTGCTGCTGCTGTTGCTGCAGAGGAAATGCAAGCGCTGCTGCTGTCCCGGCGGCTGCTGTCTCCGCTGCCGTGTTTGCTGCGTCCGTGGGGCGCTGCTGCTGCTGCTGCAGCCCTCAGCAGCAGCAGCAGCAGCAGCAGCAGCAGCAGCAGCAGCAGCAGCAGCAGGAGGCGCAGCGGGTCGATTCTGGGGTCGTTTTGCGCCGTTTTTTCGCAGCAGCAGCAGCAGCAGCAGCAGCAGCGGCGGCCCTACCTGCACTTCTCGCGGGCGCTCCCCGAAGACTTCGAACTGCCCCTCGAAACTCTTCCGGAAGATCTCCATTTGCTGCTGCAGTCCAACCCGCAGCAAATGGACTTCTTCCAAAACTACTGGTATTGGCGGCTGCGGGCCGAGGCCGCGCTGCTCGACCCGCAGCAGCTGCCGCGCAAGTCTTACAAGCAGCTGGCGCGCGACATGGGGCTCCAGGAAAGTCTTTTTTCTCCGCCATTTCGAGGACTTTTTGTCTCCTTTTTCGCGAAACTTGTGTCTCCTTTCGAGGGCTTTTTCGTTCTGCTTTTTTCTCCGGCTTTTGCTGCTTTTTTGCGCTGTTTTCGGGCTTTTTTTCGCGGTTTTTTGACGCTTTTGGGTGCTTTTTTTAAGGCCTTTTGCTGCGCTCGGTGTCTCCTTTTGGCGCCTTTTTGCTGCTGCTTTTGTCTCCTTTTTGCTGCTGCTTTTGTCTTCTTTTTGCTGCTGCTTTGTCTCCTCTTTGTTGCTGCTTTGTCTCCTCTTTGTTGCTGTTTTTGGCGCCTTTTGGGGGCATTTTTGGTGGTGCTTTCGTCTTTTTTTCCTCCATTTTGAGGTCTTTTTCCGTTCTTTTTGGCCACAATTGCGCTCCTTTTGAAGGCCCTTTTGTCTCCTTTTTGCTGCTGCTTTGTCTCCTTTTTGCTGCTGCTTTGTCTCCTTTTTGTTGCTGCTTTTGTCTCCTTTTTGTTGCTGCTTTTGTCTCCTTTTTGTTGCTGCTTTTGTCTCCTTTATGTTGCTGTTTTTGTCTTTTTTTTGCTGCTGTTTTTGGCCTTTTTTGCTGCTTTTGGCGCCCTTTTGAGCTGTTTTAATTTTAGTAATTAAATAAAATAAAATAAAATAAAATAAAATAAAATAAAATAAATAAATAAGTAAAATTAAATAAATAAAATAAACAAATAAAATAAAATAAACAAATAGAACAAGACAAAACAAAATAGAACAAAACAAAATAGAATGAAACAAAACAAAACAAAACAAAATAGATTGAAATAAAACAAAATAAAATGAATAAAATAAATAAAATAAATAAAATAAATAAAATAAAATAAATTAAATTAAAATAAATTAAATTTAAAATATTTATTTTTGTTTGCAGATTGTGACCGAAGAAAACCAACACATGGTGGGCCTTTTGGAGCTTTACGAATATCTCAAAACCGCCCCTTTTGTGGGCCCTTTTGGAACAACTCAAAACCCTGTTTTAGTGCCTTCAGTCCACACCGAAAGGTAAACCCTAAACCCTAAACCCTAATGGGATTTGGGATTTGGGAGCGAAACTCCGCGACCCCGTCCACCGCCCCTAAGTCCGGGGCGTCTTTCGATTTGGCTAAACCCTAAACTCGCAGTGCTACTTTCAAAACCCTGTTTTAGTGCCTTCAGTCCACACCGAAAGGTAAACCCTAAACCCTAAACCCTAAACCCTAAAGCCTCGCTTTGAGGCGCTGGGGCAGGTGGCGGGGATTCAGGCCCCGCAGAAAGCTAAACCCTAAACCCTAAACTCGCAGTGCTAC